CTGAGCCACTGAGCCCTATAGGATACCTAGCACAGAAAGCCACTCTATCAACACAGGGAAGCAGCCAAAATGTGGAGACAAAGAAACATGTCACAAACAAAAGAAATGGAGGAAAGCAAACTACTGGATATAGAGTTCAAAACCACAGTTATTCAAAAATCTTCTAGAAACCTCCGAGAAATTTAGTGAGACCCTCAAGGAAATGAAAAATGACTAATTAGAAATTAAGCATACACTGACTGAAATAAAGAATAATATACAGAGATCCAACAGCAGACTAGAGGACCCCAAGAATCAAGTCAAAGATTTAAAATACCAAGAAGCAAAAAACACCCAACTGGAAAAGCAAAACGAAAAAAGAATCCAAAAATATGAAGATAGTGTAAGGAGCCTCTGGGACATCCGAATTATGGGGGTACCAGAAGAAGAGAGAGAGCAAGATATTGAAAACCTATTTGAAGAAATGACAGAAAACTTCCCCTACCTGGTGAAAGAAATAGACTTACAAGTCCAGGAAGTGCAAAGAACCCCAAACAAGAGGAACCCAAAGAGGACCACACCAAGACACATCATAATTAAAATGCCAAGAGCAAAAGACAAAGAGAGAATCTTAAAAGCAGCAAAAGAAAAACAGTTACCTACAAGGGAGTACCCATATGACTGTCAGCTGATTTCTCAACAGAAACTATGCAGGCCAGAAGGGAGTGGCAAGAAATATTCAAAGTGATGAATAGCAAAAACCTACAACCAAGATTACCCAGCAAAGCTATCATTTAGAATTGAAGGTCAGCAAAGAGCCTCACAGATAAGAAAAAGCTAACGGAGTTCATCACCACCAAACCAGTATTATATGAAATGCTGAAGGGTATGCTTTAAGAAGGGGAAGAAGAAGAAAAAGGTAAAGATAAAAATTATGAACAATAAAGTGACAACAAATATATATCAGTAAGTGAATCTAAAAATCAAGTGAATAAAAAATCTGATGAACAGAATAAACTGGTGAATATAATAGAATCAGAGGCATAGAAAGGGAATGGACTGACAATTCTCGGGGGGAAGGGGGTGTGGGGGGTGAGGAAAGAGACTGGACAAAAATCGTACGCCTATGGATGAGGACAGTGGTGGGGGGTAAGGGCATGGGGTGGGGTGGGAACCGGGTAGAAGGGAGCTATGGGGGGAAAAAGAGGAACAACTGTAATAATCTGAACAATAAAGATTTATTCATAAAAAAAAAGAAGCATATTCCACACACACACAAAATCAGCAACCATTATTCAGTTTCCATTCACAATTGTGAATATTGCCTCACAGGCGAACTAAGAGCGTCCTTGAGCAGGTCTTCCTGGTGAGCAGGCCTCCCTGCAGGTGGCAAGGGGGAGAGGAGGCCACTCCAGGTCAAGGTGGTCAAGAGAGGCTACCCTGGAGTTGGGCCAAACTGCCTTCCTCACCCCCCTCCTGCTGCCAAGGTCAGAACCCTGGAGGTGCTGTTCCCACAGCCCAGAGAGGAGGTCCCAGGACAGCCCAGAGCACAGGTTCCAACTCTGCGCTCCCCCCCAGTCCAAACAGGAAGGCCGGACCTCCCCCAAGGAAACAGACCTGGCTGCCACATGAGCTGCACAATTGTTTGCCTTTGGCTTCTCAATGCTGGGCCATTGTGCTTAATTTTAACTGACCCCGCTAACCCATCCCAGATGGCCGGGAACCCCCTTCCCAGCCCCACCCCAAGCCACAACCACAGCCATTCCTCAGGGCCTGCGGAAGAGTCACCCAAATTCCTAAGTTCAAAGTCATCCCTTATCTGCATTCCAGTCTCATCCATGACCAATCTGCCTCACAAAACTACTGACCCGGCCTAACCTTCTCGGGGTTTTCCTGAATATTCCACATAAGTTCTCGCGTCCCTAACTCTCTGACCTTCCTTCAAGGTCCCTTGGATGAATTCATCATTTCTTCCTTTACAATTCCTTTGTACCTTATATCACAGTGAGCAATTATTGAGCACTTACTGTGTACTAGGCACCATGCTGAGTCCTATATACATGCACCCCCTCTTTTAATCCTCATGACGACATATAAAAAGACAAAAGCCCTGGAAAGTTATGATGATACTTTCCCTGGGTCACAAAAATAATATGTGGTGAGCCAAGCACCTCATGCAAGCATCGGTTCCAAGCCCCTCACCCTGGTTCCGTCACAGGAGGACCTTCCCAGGAGGTCTCACCTCCCACAGCACATGTCCCCATGCGCCCCCTGCATCCGTTAGGCTTCGGCACACACGGTTTGTTACCTCTGCCTAGGAGACCCTGCAGAAGGCTCTCCCCCTCCCCCCCCCCTGTACTTTTAGATTCAGCCGATGGTCACCTCTGCCATTGGGTCTTCTCACCCTCCCATAGTCCTTTGCTCAGATCTCTGTCGCGTGCCCAATCCTTTTGGGGAGTTTTCTCCACTCGACATTGAGTCCCCTGAGAGCAAGGACCATGGCTTATCATCCTTTAATAATTTGTCAAACCGTTCCTGGTTGGTGCCAGGAATATACAGATGTGAAATGTCCCCGTCCAGGTTGGCTGGGAGGGTGGACCAGTGAACCAAGTATAATGTGGAAGGGGCCTAGGCTTTTCTCATTGCTGCCACTAGAGGGCAACAGGGTCTCCCAATTGTCAGCCTTTCAACTTCAACTGTCTTTGCCGTTTCTCCCGCCCCCCACCCCCGTCCCAGGAAGCCAAGACCTTGGACACTCAGTTCAGTAAAATGAACCTTCGAAGAGCTTACAGACCTGGCCCTTTGCTAGGTGCTGTCATAAAGGTGAGAGGGGGAGCAGGAAGGATCCAAAAGTTAGACCAGCTCCTGGCTGTGAAGCACCAACTCTGCCTGGGGTCTAGTTTCATGCTTTTCCTAGCTGTGTGCCCTTGGGCAAGTTGCTTAACCGCTCTGTGCCTCCGTCTGCTTGTCTGTTCCATGGGGCTTATAAACATGTCCGTGGAGAAGGGCTGCTGTGAGGGCAGTGCCCTGGGGTGCAGACAGGGCAGTGCATGTCTGTGGCTTTTACATTTCTGCGTCTGAGGAAGCCCACAGGGTAGCAGTGGGGAGCTGCACCCCAAGGCACAGAGAGCCAAGAAGGTTGCACCTGTGCTGGAACCAGAGGGGAAGAGGGCACACCTGCTGGGATGGGGGGAGTTGGGGGAGGACTCCCAGAGGAGAGCTGTTCTGTGAGATGGGCCAGGAAGGGGGAGCGAGGACATGGGGGTGCTGTGGAGGGGGGCCGGGCTCCCTCCAGGTGACAGGTGCGAGGCGGGGCTGGAGGAGCCCTTCCAGGGCAGGGAGGAAAGAGGAGGGGAGGGAAGGCAGTGTCCCCGGGCTGCACCTGTTGGCTGGAATATTGGGCTCCTGGGTCCCTGCCAGCCCCTCCACTAAGCCCCTCGGGGCCTCCCAGAGAGGAGGAGCCTCTCCGGGGCTGTATTTTTAGTTCCCTGTGCCTCCCCAGCTGCTATAAGACACCTCTCCCTGCCCCCACCCCGCGCCTGGCCGGAGGCTCCAGGAGGACAACTGGGGAGAAGGGGAGCCGTGGTCAGTACGGTGGCTGCCAGGGGCGGGAGGAGTGGGTGGAGGGCTCCAGCGGGGTCTGGGGTAAGCTAGGGGGTCCCACTGCCCCACTGAGGGCCTCAGGCCGGTTCTGTGGCTCCGGGCCCAGCCGGTCTCTGAGCCTGGCCTGGCGCTGGTCCAGGAGGGCAGACCCTTCCAGGGAGGAGCAAGTGGGCAGGGAGGCCTGCCCGGGCTCGCCTCCAAAGGGGCGGCTCCAGGAGGAGGAGGAAGGGAATGGTCAAGGTTGAGGGGACCCTTGGCTTTGAAGAGACAAGATGTTCTCATTCTTTCCATCGTTGGCCCCCTTGGTGGCATCTTAAAGTGTAATCCCCGCGCCCCCATTCCCTGTGGGGAGCTGTTGGCGGCTGAAGGGCTAGCAGTCCCCCGGTCACCTGGGCTGGAGTTGTGTCCCTTGGAAGGGGAGGGGGCTGGTGCACAGCCACCTGGGGCTCACGCCTGTGTGGTGGGTGCGGGAAGCCCCTGCTGGGGAGTCTGCTCTGTGCCTGTCTGAGCTGAGCGGTGGGACTCGCCAGGCACCAAAGCACAGAAAGGTCTTGCCCGTCAGACAGGCTCCTGGCTTACTTTGCTGGGAGAGGGCACTCAGGTACAGCCCTGGGGTGGTCAGTCTGGACAAGTAAAGTCTTAGGTGAGAGACCCGGTGGGCCTCTGTGTCCCCAAGGAGCCAGCACGGCCAGGACAAGGGAGTGAGTGGGACAGGAAGACGTATTTTGGTTCAATATAAAGAAGCCTCTTTCAAGCAGTAGGTAGTGAGCTCACTGCGCCTGGGGGTATTCAAGCAGATGTTCAATGACGATCTTTAGGAAGAATTGCCCCCTGTAGGGGGAACTTGGACAAGATGCCATTGAGGGCCTCTGTTAGCTTCAGGACACCAGGGCCCTGTAATTCAAACCTCTCTCTCTCTACCTTCCTATGATTCTGGAAGCTAGGACCCACGTTTCCAGAGTGGTGAAAGTTGAGGACCCTGGCATTCTAGAATTCTAATTCTGGGTCTCAAGACTCCAGATTTGCAGACTTGAGGATGATTCTGCCAGTCTCAGATTTTCGCATTCAAAGCAGTCCATGCTATGAAACAGAAAAAGAAGGGGCAGGTCTGAGTTGGTGGGATCCAGTTTTGCCCTATGGGGTGTCTAACCCACCCCTGTGTGTGCGTGTGTGTGACATGAGCGTGCAAGGCTGCAGAAAGTTGTGCACACAAAGGCAGTGTGGCCTTCCTATTTCATGCGCCTCCAGCTCTGGCCAATCGAAGGCTGTCACAGGGATAATTATAGCCCCCAAACAGAGCTGGCGACTCCAGGTAGCCATAGCAACCGTTAGGTAACGCCGGCTCTGTTGTAGAGATGTGTAAGTACAAACAGATGCCGGCCCCTTCCTATTAGCTTAAATGGTAAAACTTAAAAGGCTCATCGACTTCAAAGCCGCAGGTTCCCCGCGCGTGCCAGCTCATGCCGTGCCGGCCGAGGGTGACAGCTTCCTATTAAACACGTTGGCGCTGGTAAGGAGTTGATGAGATTTTAAATACTCAGGCTGCCCCCAGACAACTCGCGGGCTGGAGATGGGAGAAGAGCTGCAGGTGCCAGTTGGGTTTTCAGCTCCGCCACTTACCAACCTCCAAATCAGCCCTGCACACTCCTGGGCTCCCAGCCAGCAAGTGACCCGAAGCGGGGCTGACGCTGCCAGGGTCTGAGCAGACCCTCTCAGAGCCCCCCTTCCTTGGGATCCTGGGCCTGGCGCAGAGTGGGCCTCAGCTCCAGGCTGTTGAACGGAATGAATGAATGAATGAATGAATGAATGATGAATGAACGAATGATGAATGGTGGCCCCCTGAAAATCCTTATGGCTTTTTAGCTACTCATTTTGCTGCTGCATCTTCCACTGTTAAAGTTGGATGAGCTCCTGGTTGCCCAGTTGGCATCCTGGGTTAAGACTCCTGGAGGCCACCTGGCTGGCATCCTGGGTTAAGGCTTGTGGGTGAATTCTGAGCACATTGTCAGGGACGGGCACCTGACCCTTTGGGTTGTTAGGAACCAGCTGACTCCGTCAATAAATTGGCTCATTGAAAGGATACACAGGGGGTCATTCAGCAAGCGGCAGCCCCTGGTAATCCTCAAGTGGTGGTTGGCCGGGCTTTGCCCAGGTCAGCACGGAGGGCCCTCTAGACCCCAGGCGGCAGGGAGGGCTCCCGATGGGGGTTCTTACTCAGGGCTGGTCATGAAACGGTCTCTCTCTGCCTCTGCATTTCCTTCTCCCGATCAATTCCTGCCCAGCGCCCCTGCTCGCATTTTGAAGAAGGGCTCTGATTGCCGTAGCTGATAGACTGGCTGTGGGACAGCGCCCTGCCCTTGGCTGCCGTAGGCCGGGTGCCAGCTCTGGGCCAATCAGCTGAGTCAGACAGTGAGTTGCGTGGAGAACATGACTGCCAAGCCCTCCCCTCAGCAGGCGCTGGGGCAGGGCAGTTACTTTTAGAACGAGTTATATATGGAGGGTAGTTCTAACTGCACGTCTAATATAGGCCCAGGACGGTCAGCCTGCCTGCTTACATAGCCTCATTGTCCACAGCTGTGATATGGGGTGATGCTCATGGCCTCACAGGGCTATTGTGAAGACCAGAGGTAATCCCGCCCAAGGAGGCACTTTGTAAACGGTAAAAGCCCATGTACATGGAAGAAAGGGCTTGTGTCTACCTCGATCATAGCACGAGATAAACTATACTGTAATTTTATTTCTCATACTCACCTCCCCAAGGAGACTGGCAGTTTGTTGGACACAGGGGTACGTTTTATTTGGTTTTGTGTCCTCTGCATGTAGCACAGTTTCTGACACACAGTAGGTCCTCTGTAACTGTGTGTTGCATGGATGGATGGATGGATGGATGGATGGATGAATGGATGATGGATGGGTGGGTGGATGGGAGGATGGATGAGTGGGTGGAAGGCTGGATAGACGGATCTTGGACAGATGGGTGATGATGGATGGAAGGATGGATGGATGATGATGGATGGATTTAAAGAAGGCCAATCATCTTCACTTGCCTTCCGTGCAAGGCCACCATCGTTTTATTCAATGAGCATTTATTCCACTCAAATCTGGTACAAGACACTGTGTGAGGTCCAAGAGATACACAGATGAATAAAACAGAGCCCCTGTCCGCTTGAACATCAGAGTAAAGTATTCAGGGGCCCGGCTCTCTGGGTTCAAATCCCAGCTCTTCCGCCCACTAGCTGTGTGACTGACAAGCTTCCCTAACTTCCTCTCGGTTAAATGGGGAGAATGTCAGGATGTGTCCTGAGGAGTTACCAAAAGTAAGGTGCTTGGAGCAGGGTCTGGCTCCCAGCACAGTCTCTGCGTACTAATGGGGGAGTCCGAAGGGAAACAAAGACACAGGCGGCAGTGAGGGAGCCATACAATAGGACCACAGGCAGACAAATGGAAGGAGGAGGCCACAAATTGTGCCTTGAGGGGGTACGTCAAGCGAAACTTCCCCGAGGGAAGTATTTGAGCAAGGCCACGAAGCCGGTTCCCTGGGTGGAGCGAGAAAAATCCAGACCCCAAGAGGTTATGGGTTTGCCCCAGTCTGCCAGCATAAGCCCATCTGGGCTCCCCACCACGTCTGGCTGGGTGAGGGGCTTGCTGGCAAAGCGGGAGAGTGTGCACCAGGAGACGGACAAGGGCCGGGACGGCCCCTGCCAGCCGGGCCCCTGCTGCCCAAACCAGTTCCCCTCGCTGGCAGCAGGGAGAGTTGGGTTTCAGGCTTCTGGCAACGGCCTTGGTGGTGCCCTTTGTGTTGGCCTTTGAGAGTCCAGACAGTGGCCCCTCCTCCTCCCCACTCTTTCCACACACACAGCCACCCCCACCCCCGAGTGGCCTGAGTTGTCCTACCTCCCCACAATGGCACCTGCCCCGAAATAGCTTCCATGTAAGGGCCAGAGAAAGGAAGAGATTAGACCTCTGTGTGGAGGTGGGGGCCAGGGGGCGGGGGGAGGGGCGGGGAGGGAGCAAGCTGTCAAGTGATCTGTGTCAGGCATCCGGAAGGTATAAAACCCCTTTGGGGCCAGGCAGCCTCAAACCCCAGCTGCCGGGACCAGGACACCCAGTCAACCTACACCTGCTCTTTCTGTCTCCTTCAGACTACGCCATGGGGCTCAGCGACGCGGAATGGCAGCTGGTGCTGAATGCCTGGGGCAAGGTGGAGGCCGACATCCCGGGCCACGGGCAAGCCGTCCTCATCAGGTAAAAGGAAGAGATTCCCTTGTCCTATCACCGGCTTCCCCGAGATCAGGGTGTTTGACAGCAGGTGGAACCTTTGCCTGGGGTCGACCAGTTGGCTGTATTAGTTGAGCTTGTTAACTCACCGCCCCCCCTCCCCCTGCCCCATTTGGTTCTCCTTTGCTTTTAAATATCAGGGATTGGGGTTAGAAAAGGAAAGGGGATCCATCTCACACCTATGTCTGCAGTCGGGAAAAGCTTGATACCTTGAGCCCACCACGAGGAATTATAGACAGTTAACAGGGGCCCCCGAGGGACCTCATCCAGCTGCCTCACTTATTAGATGAGGATAGAAAGGACCCGAGAGGGGACGACATCCCCCCCCGTCCCCGCCCCGGTCACAAGTCCATTGAAGTCTGTAAAGTCGCAAGGTTAAGATATGGCCCTCAAGATGAGACATGTAGCTCTAGACCAGTGGTTCTCAACCTTCCGGCCCTTTAAATACAGTTCCTCATGTTGTGACCCAACCATAAAATTATTTTCGTTGCTACTTCATAACTGTCATGTTGCTGCTGTTATGAATCATCATGTAAATATCTGATACGCAGGATGGTCTTAGGCGACCCCTGTGAAAGGGTCATTCAACCGCCAAAGGGGTCGCGACCCACAGGTTGAGAACCGCTGCTCTAGACCAAGCTTTGCCACTGAGCGGTTGTGTGACTTCTGAGCCTCGATTTCTTCACCTACACAAGGGGGAAATCCCAATATCTACATAATAGAGTCAAAGCGAGAATGATATAAGATGATGCTGGCAAGGGGCCCAGCACTCTTCCTGGCATATAGTGCGTTGCAAAGTTCATAACTGCTACAGACGAAGCCCAGCGTAGGGCCCTTTAAGTATTATAATTAGAAAGCAGGTGACGGAGGCCCATAAGTGGCTTTTGGCTCCAAGTATGTCTTGAATCTGAGCGCTCAGAGTGGTGTGGTCTCCACACACCTTGCCTCCTACAGCACGGGGTTCCCGAGTAAACCAAAGAACAAAGAATTCCAAGGTCTGGATACAGGGGTGGCTGGTGGCCTGTGAATGGAACCTCGTTTCCCCTTGCCTCCTCCCCAAACGGGGATCCAGTCTCCTCTTCTCCCGGCCCCTCCCTCGTGCCGGGGGCAGCCCAGGTCAGACACCTGTGTCAGCCGGCGTTTCCACGCCTGGGAGGAAGGGGCTTTGGGGTTGCCGCAAGCGAGTGGATCGTCCTTCACACTTTAATTCACAGATGAATTCCTCCTTCGTTCTGAGCCAGGCCAGGTGTTCCTCTCCCCTCAGGTGCCCTTGCGCTCTCCCCGGGCCTCACCCACTTCCAGCTCCCACTGGGAGAATGGTGGGTCCTGGGCGCTCTGTTATCTGAATCGCGCGCCCTTGGTGGTCCACGCTGGAGACACGGAGGAAGAACGGTCAAGGGAGTTCTCTGTTGCCTTTCTCCTCCTGTCGCTGTGGTCTGGCTGCTGGGCTGCCACAGGTCCTGTTGGATTGGACAAAAGGCTCCCCCCCAGGTTGACATCAACTCCTCAGCCACCAATTTGCTGTGTGACCTTGAAAAGGTCACCACTGCTCCTCTCTGCTTCCTATTGGTTGAGTGAAGGGGGTTGCCATGGTCTCGGAGACCCTTCCCTTCTTGCGCTGGCACTCCCCAAGTCCATGGTCCTCCCTGCTGCAGGAGAGCAGGCGGGGAAGTCGGGGTGCGAGACCCGTGTGCAGAGCGGGAGTCTCCAAGGTGCTCTGGGAGCCGCCAGCCCCGAGGCAGTCCCTGGATGTTGAAGGAGACTCAGGGCATGGTGTCATCAGGGGAAGCATTTCCTCCCTTCCCAGGGTGGCTCGGAGAGTCCTGCCACGGGCCAGGCGCCAGGGACAAGACGTGATGCCTGAGGCTCGTGGCTCCTTAAGAATCCAGAGAGCCTGGTGCCCTATCACATCCGAGGCTGCGGGACACGCAGAGACCATGCCAACTGGTTCTGCCTGCTCAGTGGGGGGTGGGGGAGGGCAGGGAGAGGATGCTGGCTCCCAGGCCTGCCGGTGCCCCGGTGTGACCTGGCTTCTTGGTCCTGCCCCAGATGATGAACCTGGAAGGTCACGTCTCCCACGCCTCTGGTTACCAAAGAGGGCAGTTGGCTTCAGCCGGGCCTGTTACTACAGCTGAGGGCTCTCGTGATCATGTTCTCGAGCAGTGGTTCTCAACCTTCCTAATGCCTCGATCCTTTAATACAGCTCCTCATGTTGTGGTGACCCCCAACCATAAAATTATTTTCATTGCTACTTCATCACTGTAATTTTGCTACTGTTATGAATCGTCATGTAAATATCTGATAGGCAGGATGTATTTTCATTGTGACAAATTGAACATAATTAAAGCGTAGTGATGAATCACAAAAACAGTATGTAATTATATATGTGTCTTCCGATGGTCTCAGGTGACCCCTGTGAAAGGGTCGTTCGACCCCCAAAGGGGTCGCTACCCACAGGTTGAGAACTGCTGTTCTAGAGCGTGAAAGCTGGGGGGCCGTTGGAGCGTCTGGTTCCAGAAGCGAGGGTTCAGGAGGAAACGGCCTGAGCATCTCAGTCAGCCGGGGGCAGCTGTAGGCAGAGCCCCACATTCCTGACCCTGACAGTTACACTGCTGCTGTGGTGCAGGCTGATGGGGGTGGCGATGGAGGTGATGATGAGATGAGGGTGGCGATGCGACGGAGGTGATGATGGTGGTAGAAATGAGGAGGACAGTGAATACTGGAACAGTACACACTGACTGCCAGGCCCTGTGTCAAGTGTTTCCCAGATACTAACTCGCAACGTCTTTATGAGATTGAAATGATGATCATCGCCAGGTTCATCAGAGAGGTTAAGTAACTTGCCCAAAGCCACACAGCTGGAATTCCATTCCAGGCAGCGTGCACTCACCGCACCTGGTCTCACTGCTGTGCGATACTGGCCCACGGTCCCGGCCCAGCCCCGCTCTGGTTCTTTGGTGCCGGAGCAGAGAAGAATCCTGCAGGTCCGCCGGGTCCTCGGTCTCCGGGGGGGTGTCTGGCTGGCGTCCGTTCAGCGGACACGGGAACGGGCCTCGTTTCTCTCTGACCTGCCTGCAGACTGTGACAACCAGGCAGGTTGGAGATGGAATCGGAGGTGAAAAACCACAAGGCCAGGGGCGTTGCTGGAACGCGAGGGAAAACGCGGCCACCCATTTCCGCAGATGAGGTGCTTCGGCAGCTCATGCTGGGGGTTGCTCCCGTCTGGCGAGTCCGGGTCTGGCCTCTGCGGCTGTGCCGGGGACGCTCAGCTATGGGCACTGAGAGCCGTGGGCACTCATTAGACAAACTGGTACCGTGAGAAACAGGTCCGGGCTCCCTCTGTGCCAGCTGTGCTCAGAGCAGAGGCTGAGGCGGGGTCCAGCCTTAGAATTCGGAGGCTGAGAAATCAGATGGGTGAGCAAGACCCAGAGAGGTTGAGTGGCTTCTTTAATGTCACACAGCACATTGGAGACAGCTGGGGCCAGAGCTCAGCTTCCGTAATTCTCAGTCCCAGACACCTGGCGACTCCCAAAATGTCTGAGATCCCTGTGGGTCCCAGGTCGTTGGCCCCATTCTGCCCCAGACAGTCTCCTCCCCATCTCCCCTCGTCGGGCCCCACCTGTGGGTGCCAGGTCGTTGGCCCCATTCTGCCCCAGACGGTCTCCTCCCCATCTCCCCTCGTCGGGCCCCGCCTCTGGGTGCCAGGTCTCACTTCTGTCAGCAGGAGTTCCAGGATCATTGTCACCAGATAACGATAGCCAGGAGTATGGACCCTCGGGCGGAAGGTGCCAGAGAGGAGCTGTCAGTGACACTCGAGGCTTGGCCGGGGCCCCGGGGTGAGGTGGTGACATTGAGCTGGGCTGTGGACAGCCCCGGGCTTTCTGGGCGAGCCGGGGGTGCTCCCGGGAAGGGAGGGTCCCTGTCGGTGCCGTGTGGAGCGTGCTTGTGAGTGCATGCGTGTGCGTGCATGTGAGCACAGGTGTGTGCGGGGAGACACTTATACTGTGTCCACAGTTGGGAGGAGAGGGAGCAGGCAGATGGGGTTTCTCCTCCACACATTTCAGGGGGCAACCGAGGGAGAGAGCGCCCATTATGGAGCCGCCCAAGGTTGGGTTCGGGTCCAGGTTCTGCCACCGACTGGCCGCGTGACCCTGGGCTGGTCGCCTGCCGCTATGGCCTTCTGTAGGCCCAAGAGTGAAGTGGGAAGTCACCCCCACCCAGGGCCAGCACAACTCCCTTTAACCACCACCAGCCTTTTTGCAGCAGGAAAGACAGGTCCAAGACTGGAGGCGCCTGCTCAGGGCCCCGGGCAGGATCCCTCTGTGGCCAGCTCGCTGGGTCCCTGGCAGGAGCGAGGACCTGGTCTTTGGCGGGTGGCTCCCACCAGGGCCCGTTGCCATCTGTACTGTAAGGGGTGTCAGAGGTGCAGGGAAATCAGAGTTTGGGCTCAAAATAAGAGCTTTCTGAGCCCGAGAGCTGCTCTGGGTGGCACGGCTCTCACAGGGAGTGAGCCTCCCGTCGCTGGAAGTATGTAAGCAGCGCAAGGATGAGCCCGAGGCAGGAAGCTGCAGAGGTGGTCCCCAGCATGGATGACATTTTGAGTCACTCAGTCCTGCCTTCGGTCTGACTCTGCTGCCCTCCAGCCCTGGAATATGGGACGAGGACTTCACACCTCGGAGCCTGTTTCCTCACCTGTGACGTGGGGGAACTGTGACCCCAAGGGCAGTGCAGGTGCAGAGCCGAGCACGGGGCCTGCATGTGGCAGGCGCTCAACAAAGCCAGCGTCCTTTGGCCCCCTCCTCTGTTCCGCCCTTGATGCTACTCTGACCTCTACTCTCCGAACCCCTTAGAGAAAGCTGGGGTGAGGCCAGGGTGCAACGCAGCAGAGCTTTTCCTTCCTGCCTCTCAAATAACAAGGGAGAAGAGGAAGGCATAAAAATTCCTAATGGCAAGCATTTCTACCACACGCAGCACATGTGACCTCATTGAATCCTCACTGCACTTCTATAGGCAGGGACCAGTTAGCCCCATTCCCCGGATGAGGAAGCTGAGGCACGGGGAGGTGAAAGGACTTGCCCCAGGTGACACAGCTGGGAAGCGGGGGAGTCCGGATTTGAGCTCAACTCTGGCCACCTCCACACCCCACTACCTGCTCCCGCGTCTGACTCCAGCCCTCCTTGTTCCCACAGTCTCTTTAAGGGGCACCCCGAGACCCAGGATAAGTTCGAAAAGCTCAAGAACCTGAAGTCGGAGGATGAGATGAAGGCCTCCGAGGACCTGAAGAAGCAGGGCGCCACCGTGCTCACGGCCCTGGGCGGCATCCTCAAGAAGAAGGGGCAGCACGAGGCGGAGCTGAAGCCGCTGGCCGAGTCCCACGCCACCAAGCACAAGGTCCCGGTCGAGTACCTGGAGGTGCGGAGCAGGGCCAGGGGCGGGGGGAGAGGATGGAGGGAGTGATCTCAGAAGCTCAGCCACTAACGCGCTGGGTGACCTATGTCACTGCTCTCTGGGCTCCGGTCTCCTCATCTGTAAGGTGGGCTGGCACCCACTTGGCCTTCCTCCTGGGGTCACTGAGATTGTATATATTTCTCTCCCAAATCAGTATGTTGTTACCAAGGAAGCAGGGGAGAGTGGGGATCAGGTGCACAACTCGCACTCTCTCCACAGGTAGGTGCTCTTATCATACCCACTCGACAGATGAGGAGACTGAGGCACAGAGGGGTGAAGTAGCTGGTGCGTGGTCACAGAGGTAGCCAGTAGCAGAGCCAGGATTCAGTTGAGGTCTGTATCCCTGCAGAACCCCGGCTCCTGACCCGGTGCCACTGGGTGTGTGACATGCAGGACTCTGTGGCCGGAGCTCAGCAGCTGGGGCTCAGTTCTGGGGCAGGGTGGCCAGCAGGCTGGCTCTATTGGTTCCAGCATATTTACAGAGGAAGCAACAGAGCCTCAGGCATCCTAGGGGAGGAGGGGACATGGTGACAGGAGCACTCGGGAGCTCGAATGGATGGCGCAGGCCCTGGGGGCAGGAACGGCAGGCAGGCCTGTGTGCAGGGAGGGTAAGGAGAATGGTGCTAGGACCAGCCTGGAATTCTCACAATCACACCCAAAGGTTAGGAGCCGCATTCCGCGTCTCCTTTCCTCTCACACAAACGAAGTGCAGAGGGAGGGAGTCAGAGCTGGTAGGAAGCCCCAGGGATAGAGGCTCTTTCTGTTCTGCCCTCCAGAGTTGACTCACCGTCTGAGGTGGCTGCTAGAGCTCCAGCCATCTGGTCCAGATTCTAAACAGGAAGCAGGAGGAGGAGAGGAAGGCTCTGGTTTAAGGAGTCTCAGAAACCTCATCCAACAGTGTTGTGCGCACTCTGTTGGCCAGGCGTTAGTTATAAGACCACCCCTGTCAGCTCGGAAAACGGGCAAGTGTAGTCTGTTGCCGCTCCGAATACAATTAGAAAACGGACACTGGGCAGGCGATCAGCAGTCCCTGCCCCAGGCAGGTACCTTTTTTTAAATCCCCGTTTTACAGATTTGGAAACTGAGGGCTCAGAGAGGTTAAGCAGATTGCCCAAGTTCGAACAGCCCGTCAGCCAGGAGGTATAGCTTGATCTGGGGTACTCTGGAACCCACGGTCTTAATCCCTGTGACACAATATCCCCCATCAACCACCAACACCACCAACAGCCAGCACCTCATCTTCCTGAACCCCTACAGGCCCCCCGCCACCCAGTCACACGCAAACTATCCTGCCTTGCCCACTGAGCATCACTGCCTTTGAGATCAGCTCACACTGTGCTCCCCGCCCTCCCCACCTCCTCCTGCCAAATCCCTGTCCGTCATGCAACGCTCAGCTCCAAAGCCACCGCCTCTGTGCTGGGCAGTCAGCTGCTCCCTCCGCCAGCCCTTCCCCCAGCAAAGGCGCTTGATCCTCCTCCTGTCATGTCACCTGCCCGGACGTGTTGTAATTTATTTCTTTACCCAGCTGTCCCCCGGCTGGGACTGCACTCCTCAAGGGCAGACCCGGGCTCTCTCCCATGGCCGAGCCCCAGTGGCCTGTGGTGGGCTCACCGGGCAACGGAATGACCCATCCCTTCTCCAGGGACGAGGACACCGAGGCTGAGAGAGAAACCCAGGTAGCCAGGTTGGCACCACCAGCTAGCGGACTAGAGCCCAGGTCTATGCCGACGAGCGTCATCTGCTATAAACAGTTAGGACTGAGCCCCATGAATGCTCTTGCCCTCGCTGAACTCTTGCTGCGTCTCACCTGGGAGTGAGGGGCCACTGTCTTTTCTCACCGGTCCAGCTGCCCCAGCCCCCAGCTTTCCAGGCGTTAGTGGCTCTGCCGTAGACTCGGGAAAGGCTGAGCTGGGGAGCCTGAGGGCGTCCTTGAAGCCCCCACACTTTCAAGGGCAGGGCTTGCTCTACTGCACCCGCAGCCACACTGCATTTTGTTGCATTTATAACATTAAAGGTAAACGTGGCATATGTCCCCAAATCAAGGCTCAAAGGCAGGTGTTTTCTGGGTGTGGAAACTTGCTCTTCTTGAGGCCTCCCTCAGCGCGCTCCTCCGCCCCCCACGCTTTCGGTCACTTGCACCCCCAGGTGCCCTGAGAAAATGGGAAAACCCGACCTCGGTGCAGCCCCTGGCTCCGTCCCCGGCTCCAGCCCCCTGGGTACAAGCTCCAGCCCAGACCCCGGTCTGGCCCCTTCCCCGTCCGGGACTCTGTACACGACCCCTGGCCGGCGTGTGGCTGGCATCAGACTGTGAGGAGCCGTTGCAAAGGTGCAGGAGATCTTTCCATCCGAGACCCTCCAGCCATAGCAGCCTGTGCTGTAGATGTCCCTGCCTCCGTGTTCCTGGCGGTGGCACCGTGGTGACGGTGAGGCCAACGGGAGATGGGACTTGCCCGGGGCTGAGCCGCAGGCCGGGTCCCTGTCCGCCTCTCCCTCCTTCCCTCCCACCAGTATGTTTGAGCTGCAATGCTGTGTTGGGCACAGGAAATGTGATGCTCCGTACCCTGCCCCCCTCCCCCCGCGCCCCCAATAGGCTATTTAAAGCAATGACCACACTAAGCCATTAATGCAAACATTAAATACACGCAAATGGAGATGGTTTCTTCCTAGATTTCCTGATTCCAAAATGCTGGGTAAAATCACAGACCGTGAGCATCCCCCACCCCCACCCCCACCCCGGGAGTGGCCGTGCCCGGAGCTCTCTCAGCGCTGAGGCTGGGTCCTCGTCCTGAGCACCAGCTGAGGGTAGTGGGTGAGCCGGCCGCCTGGCTACAGGGCCTTGGGCATGCGGCTTAACCTTTCCTCATCTGTGCCAAGATGGGCCTCAGTTTCCCCATCCACCCCTGTCGCGGGTCACGGGGATCAGAGGAGTCAGTCTGTGGAGACCACTCAGAGGTGCCCAGTGTATAGTAGGTGCTGGACAAGTGGCGCTGAAGAAAGAGACTGGCTGGGCCTGATTTCCGCCCGGCTCCTGGCTGGCCCGGCCCCTGACCTGCCCCTCTCGCCCCCTCCCTGCAGTTCATCTCCAACTCCATCATCGAGGTTCTGAAGAGCAAGCTCGGCGGGGACTTCGGGGATGATGCCAAGGGCGCCATGAAGAAGGCCCTGGAGCTGTTCCGGAACGACATGGCTGCCAAGTACAAGGAGCTGGGGTTCCAGGGCTAAGCCCCCCGAAACCCCCACGTCAACCCCCACCCCCCTGCGGCCAAGATGCCTGGCGATCAGAGACACAAAATCTCCAAGGAGTGTTTTGAGATAGCATCTGGTACCGGTTTCGAGCCCAAATAATTCATGAGAAACGAGCTGAGTGGCTAGACGTGTGAGAGGACATGGGGGCTCCTGGCGGAGGAATTTGTCAGGTATCATACTCTATGTGAGCTTTTAGTACTCTCTTCTATATCTCTTCTGCGTCACCTACACACGTTAGTGTGAACGTGAGAGAAGTGTCTGGGAGTTCGGGAACAAAAGATTCATT